CCCCAAAACCCCAAAACCCCTTTATCTAAAAATTTATATTTTGATTATTTATAATTAATAAAGGAAATGAATTACGAAAATGATAAATTTTAGGAAACAATAAAATAGTAAAACTCTAATTTGACATAGTAACGTACTCAAGCTGATGTTGACCCTGTTTACCTACTTAAGTAGTTGCTAAATGAATCTCAGTCCTCGATTCAGTCTCAATAGGTATGCTATACATTAACCTATTTGAAAATAAAATACTTAATAGATTGAAACTGCAATAAAAGACGAGAACAATAAAGATGTGAGGATTCAAAACATATTTTACAATAAGATTAAAATTGCTGACTATTCTTCAGTTTTCTTTTCAGTTTATGGTCTCTCTCTATGTGTCCTATTGTATTTTATAAAGCACAGGAGTGATGTAGCTGACCTCAGAGATGTGGTTTTGGGTTACAATTGTATTTGCACGATTGGCTTAGTTCTAACAATATACATTCGATATGATTTGAATATTCAAATCGATTAGGTATAGGAGTTGCTCTCTGAGCATGACAACCTTTACAATACAGGCTAGTGGAAAAGCTTGATCTAAGAGATATTAATTGTAATCATTTCTCCTTATCCTGGCTTATATGATGTATAATACATTGAATATAATGAATAATTCAATGCTCATATGACTTATGATGCTAACGATTTATTGCTTTGGTGCTGCTTCTCAAGACTTTATTTAGTGATAAGATATTCATTGCTGCTAACATACTTTATGGGGCCAAGGTCTTAGAGAATATGTCGAATGAATGGCTGTGATGCTTCTCTAATGTTTGCAGTAAGATCAGTCATGAAAAAACGCCCTTACACCGTTATATTTGTAACACTAATTATCACTACTGGCATATTTGCTTTTCAATTGAATATGTTTGAAGCTTAGATATCTGATGAAAGTGGATAGAATTTTAATAGCTTTTTCAATTGCATCTGGGTCGTAATTATTACACTTACTACTACAGGCTATGGAGATATTTACCCTAAAACATATATGGGAAGAGTTACATGCATAGTTATTTGCTTTTGGGGAATGTTTATTGTCTCTTATTTCGTAGTTACTCTAACTAATTAACTTAATTTTACAGACTAAGAATAGAAATCATATATCCTACTAGAAAGACTTCATCATAAAGAGTAGTTAAAGTTAAGAGCTTCAAATGTGCTCAAAAGTTCCTATCGAAATAAGATGGTAAAGGCAAATAATCCTGAAAACAAAGCCAAAAGACTTTAAGCAATGAGAATTTTCAGAATGCATAGCATTTAATTTCAGCACGAAGCAAGAAAAGTAAGAAGTTACTAGGAGTCGATAACAGATATCGATACTTTGTAAAAATACATAGAAAATGTCTAGGAACAGGTAATAGATCTATCGTCTACATTTGGAGAGACTTAAGAACATCTTAATTATATACTTGATCAAATTAAGGTTCTTAAAAGCCAAAAGTAAACAATAATTCCTGAAGAGTCATCGTAATGTTCAGATTGATTACAGAGGATATCTAATGCTTTTATATAACTTTAGTAGAGATTATTTAAACTTAATTTCATAAATCAATTCAGACAGCAAAGTATTGTTGGGGTTTTGGGGTTTTGGGG